CTATTCCATGGAGGTGTAATATTTTGTTACGTATAAATACCACATTCTTCGTCCATTCATTTGTTGATGGACACATAAGCTGTCCCCAAGATGTAGCTGGTATGAATTGCAGTGCTGCAAGTGTGGTCATGCATGTGTCACTTTGGTGTGATGTGTGTGACAATGATACCTAGCAGGCAATAGCTGGGTCCCATGGAATTTCTGTTTTAGTTTTTCAATAAATCTCTATGTTGCTTTCCATTTGGTTGTGTCAGTTTATACTCCCTCCCATCATCAGGAAAAAAGGGTTCCTTTCTCCCCATAGTCTTGCCAGCTTTTATTATTGGTTTATTTCTTTTTCTTTTTTTTGCAGAGCTAGGGATTAAACTCAGGCTCTTGCACTTGCCAGGCAAGCACTTATTCAATTGAACTATCTCCCTGGCCCCTGATTTCTTGATGATAACCATTCTTTTTGGATTGAGATGGAATATCAGTGTAGTTTTAATTTGTATTTCTTGAATGGCTCAATATTTTGAACTGTTGTTCAAAATGTTCAACATTTTTTCAGTTTTTTAATTTTTATTTTATTTTACTTTATTCAGCATTTCCAGGGTCCCCAGGGTCTCACCACATAGATAGGAATCATAGTGATCTTCCTGTTTTCAGCCTCAAGTGCTGGGATTACAGGCCCATGTCACCTCACCAAGTCTCAGTCCCCATCTCAGTGTACCCCAGGAGTGGGACCAGCATGGCACTCCGAGGATTGAACCCTAGCCACTGTGCTCTGCCTGAGCAGACGCTTTAGTCCATTGAACTATCTGGCTGGCCCCCTTATTTTATTTTTTAATATTTATTTATTTATTTTGTGTGTGTGGCCAGCTCAGCCCACCAGGGGGCGGAGGCTGGCTGGCATGTGGTGCTGGGGGATTGAACCGCGGTCCCTGTGCTTTGCTTAGCTTAGCTTGTTCTAAGCAGGTGCTCCAGACCACTGAGCCATCTCACCAGCCCCTCCCCCCCTTATTTTATATATACATTTTTTGTCATAACATGTGGTGTCTGCGCTTTGCCAAAGTTTGCCTAAGCGGGTGCTTAAGACCACTGTTGTATCTCTCCACCCCTTTCATGTATTTATTGGTCATATGTATTATTTTTAATTGGTTTTTTAACTTTAAAAGGTCTAATTTTTTTGAGTTCTTTATATATCCTAAATGTTAGTCCTTGGAGGAGTACTGCAATTTCTTTTTCTGTTATGCTGGTTATCTGTTCATCTGTTAGTGGTTTCCTTTTCTGTACGTTCCCTTCCCTTGATTTATTATTTTTTCCAGAAGTATTTCATGCCTCCCATACATTTTATAGCATTTCTTTATTTCTTAATATTTCATTTGAACTGTCCTGAAAGTATGGGAAATATGTACTTTGTGTTTATGTACATTTGGTCTTGACAAAAATATGTATTTCTTGAAAATAGCATCAGTACTGCATTGCCTAAGTTACTTAAGGTTTCTTTTGAGCCACCAGGACTGTCTCCCTACTGAGTACACGTGTACTTTTTCCATGGCATTAAGCTGCTCTTCAGAATCTTTAAGTATAATGATGTTGGAAACATGCTTAGTAAATTCTTGTCAAATAAAATAATGGTATTTCTTGCTGCTGGTCACATGGCATTTTGCTTTCTTTTTGGGTGTTGACTGTATTCTGGATGGATTATGTGGAAATTTGTAGGCTTAGAGGCTGTTTTAATTTGATTACAGTCAAATAAAACTAAATGTTCATTTCTTTGGGCACATTAGCCACGTGTCTAATGCTCACTGTCCACACGAGGCCGGTGACTAGATAGTGCAGTGTTCTAGCTGCCCGAACAGAAAGTCCTACTGTCAGCACAGACAGTTCATGGAAGTGTGGTCCCTGTTGGTTTCTGTTCTGGGCAATCCCTGAATGCTTCCAGGGCTGACTGTATTTACTTTTAGACAGCAATACTGAGTAGACAGTATCGTACGGAAATGTGTCTGCAACCACTTTCCAATTTGGTGTTTCCTTGTTACGTCATTGTAGAAGAATGGTCTCCTTACACATTGTGCATGTCTGTATGTACCCAGTTCTATTAATTGCTCTAGTGAAACTGGTTTACCTCACCACCATAACTGCTCTATGTACAGAGCAGATTTTTTTTCCCCTCTCTGAATTTCTGAGCTATAGAAAACTAGCCAAGCTGTGCAAGCAGAATGTTGGTCTTACCCCGTTACCTGGTTAGTCATAATTAGAAAGGTTCCCTGTTATGACCTATCATTCGTAACTTACTCCTGCTGCTTAAATTCCCTTCTGAATGAGACTTACCTTGAATTTTTTCCTCTGGCCTTGCTGGTGTCATTGTAAACTTTTAAATATGTGATATCACTTAATTTCCACATTAAATGAGATTTGTTATTATTTGAATCTAAATATCCCCCAAAGGCGCATGTGTCGAAGGCCTGGGCCCAGATGTAGCCGTGTCAGAGGTGGATCTTTTCTCTGCTTCTTGGCCCCTGTGAGGTGGGCAGCGTTCCTCCACCATGACTCTCTACAGGTCCAGAGGGAATGGAGCCCATAGGTCACAGGGACTGAGACCATGAGCCCAGTATACTTCTCTTTTTTATGTTGATTTTTTTCGGGTGTTTTGTCGGAGGAATGGAAAACCAAATTGCACAGAGATAATCAGTGATTCATTGTGTTATAGCACAATGAAACTTTTTCAGAAAGGATAATTAACTTAGCCAAATAAACCATTGTCAAGGGGTGAGTTATGACAGAAGCAATTTAGAACCTCTGATTTTATGTTCAGAGTTCTAAGGATGATCCCCTTCTCAGGGGGAATGCAAGTAACTGGTTTGTTGAGTATAAGAAAATTTGAAGGTACCATGACTCTACTTTAGTCTTTGTGAATTTTGCTCATTATAATTATATTAATATTTAATTTTTATTTGAATATATATATAGATATATGTAAATAAATTTCTCACAGTAATATCAAGAACTACAGGTAGAGGAGGGCAGAGTTTGTCATGTGTGGCTTCCAGGGCTGGCACTTGAAGTGTACATTGTACCTCACTTTTCCAGAGGTAGATAGCGGTGTCCCTAGTTGATAGTCAAGGTGCTCAGGGGCCCCCTGGGAATTGTCGTTTGTTTCCAGTGTCATATGTGAATGTGCGTCTATAATTTGAGTCCCTATTTTTATTATTTGAAATCTTGGTAAAGTTAAGCTCTTCTTTCTATATTATCATTAATTTATACTCCCTTATTACAGATGTCAAAAAGCTAGACAGTTGTGCCTGTCTGGAGGCTGTAGGTTAATGTGCTCTTCTGGGAGTGCCACAAGCAAAAACAGGTGACAAAATAGCGCCATTAAGAATTCACTTAGGGCTATTTTTGCATTTTCCTCTAAGCAACTCTATTTTAAATTCATCTTATGCTCATATTTTGGCTTCATTTGTTCCCAAGCTTGAGATCATGAAATTTAAAGGACTTGGCTGGGTGTAGTATTGCATATAATACCTGTAATACAGTTTCTTTGTCAGAGGCATAATTAACAATGTGATTTATACATCTATTGACTTCTGGTATTCACAACACAGTTTGTAAACTTAATTAGTTTCTGGAATAGCAAATGTTTTGAAGATGATAAACACTCTCCCTCTGAATAATGAGTGTAATGGTTACATATTCAGAGAAATTTACTATTTGCTTCTCTAATTAGAATGCTGGTAGGTGTGCCTCTCAGGTAGGCATCACCTGCAGTCACATATTCCTGGATTTTATTGTCTTCCCATACTTTTCACATGGGAAATCAAAAATTCATCTCAAATAATGTAGCTGGTAGGAATATTCCTTGTGGTTCCATTGTGTAGAAAACACTCATGCGCGTGTTGTTACTTAGATGTAGATGCCCAGCTCGGGTGGTGGTTGTTACGACGCACTGGGGCAGAGGGTAGTGAACAAGCAGTCACTGCAGGAGTACTTCTGTGTCCCCTGCTCTCGGCACTCCCAGGAGCAGACAGACTGAGAATGCCACACCGAGGTACTGCCAGTAGCTGAAAGCACTATCAGTGCCTGCAGCCCAGGGAAACTTGACTAGCATTTGCTCTAGAGCCATTGACAACTCACAAGTCTGCAGAAGCTTATTTGGTGTGTCATGAAGTATCCTACTAGAGGAATACTTTTAGAATGGTTTCAGTGTCATTAGACTGTGATTTCCAACACCAAAAGTAGGGCCTGATTTCCTCTGTATTTATACAGGGAGAAAGTAGAAGCATTGAGTCAGTCGCTTGCTGGAGATTCTCTCAAGTTTTAGCTCAGTTCACCTTTCCTAGATGGTGTCTGCCACTCTAACACGCTGGCGTGGTCCCTGGAGCCCGAGGACATTTCTGTGAGGCCGGCAAGGTGTCTGGAGCCTAGCCTCAATACCTACTCCAGCCTGTGGGTCCTGGGGACTTCGTGCCCCGCTTTAGGGATTTACCAAGAAGTGTATCAGTCAAAGCCTAGTCAGATAAAGCAAAGTCAAACCAGATTCTTCAGCAGAGAGGATTTAATATAAAGAGTTGGTCATATGGGTGCTTGGTGACTGAAAAGAAAAAAGGAAGTACTAGTGGAACTCAGTACCCTGGGAACTATAGCAAACCGTCACTCTTGAGGGTGGGTGAGCCAAAGGAAGCAATTGGGAGGGAGTACTCCATGGGACTGGGACCAATTAGCATAGTTACTCTAAGAGCTTGAATAGTACCTTACAGGGCCAGGTCAAAGACCTCCGAGGTGACAGTCCTTCCTGAGAGGTATGTTTATATTGTTTTGGAGATGCAGGAGAAAAAAAAAGACTCCAACTGCTAGGATTCAGAACCATGATGCTGGAGTGTTCCAGGGCAGGGCCTAGAAACCAAACAGGAAGGAGCAAGTCTTGTCTGTCTTCCCAATCCTAGCATACTCATGGACAGAACCTTGGAGACCACTGACAGAGGAAGAGTTCCTGCCTAGAATTCTAGAACATCATGAGGATACGGAACTAAGAAACAGTAACTGAATAACTGACGTAGGCGGTTTGTTTATGGAAATGAAAGATATAGGTAACTTCCACTTCTGTTAATTCACACTTTGGCTGGGCTGTTCTGTAATGTCTTTACTTTTGTTAATTCGAACTTTGGCTGTTCTTTAATGTTTATCAGCCTCATTGTGCCTGCTGTGAAGAATCCCGTCACTTATCTGCTCTTGTTCGCTTAACAGATACATTTTGAAAGCGTGTTGTACGCAACACACAGATCAGGTGCTGGGCTGATGATGATGAGCAGCAGCAGTTGTGTAGGCCTAAAGTCTAGTCCGTGAGACAAATGGTAAACGTGGACATGAACAGGATCCTTCAAGTCGAACCTGCTATCACATGACTGAATTTTTTTCTGTCATTCCTGTAAAACAGGACTCTGTTGATGAGCTCAAAAATCATTTTAAAAGAGCTAATGACAAACTTGGCAAATGTTATCATATGTTGGAATCTTCAAGTCTATCACTTGAACTGGAGCCCCTTTCTTTCTGACCTAGCTTTTGGTCCTAATTCTACAATTGGCCTTATTGACCAATTGAAGTCCCTTTTCCATGATGTACAAAAATATTTGTGTTTAAGTTTTATTCTTTCCCTAATCATTTTTTGTTTAGGATGAGGTTGTTTTTATTTTTTAGCTGATTTTGCTAGATAGTGCTGCACTTAGCAAGAAGTGTATGAATGAAAGCCTAGTCAGATAAAGCAAAATCCAACTAGATTCTTCAGCAGAGAGGATTTAATATAAAGTGTTGGTCATATGGGTGCTTGGTGACTGAAAAGAAAAAAAGGAACTACTAAAGGAACTCGGAAATAGTACTGAACAAAATAGTGCTGAACGAAAGTTTTCTATTACTGCCTTTTCTAGCAAGCTTTTATATACTTTTCCCCACTAATCTCTCTTCCAATCCTCCCCTGGTTCCCAATATTGACCAGCAACCATGGTTGTTATAATTATCTGTAAATTCATTGTAAATTGTTTCTTTCTTAGCTTCTTTCTTTCTTTCTTTCTTTCTTTCTTTCTTTCTTTCTTTCTGTATTTAGTACAGGGTCTATAAGGTCTAACTACACAAACTGGAATCAACGTGATCCTCCTGTTTTCAGCTTCCCAAATGCTGGGATTACAGGCGCACCACCATGCCCAATCTCAGTTGATGGCTCAGTGCGCCCTGGGGGTGGGGTGGGGACAGCACTACACAGGGGATCAAACTTCAGCCTCTTTGTCTGCCTAAGCAGGCACTTTAATTCACTGAGCTATCTGGCGGGACCTAATTATCTGTAAATTCTTAAAATTCATGTGAAGAGCCTTTGTTGGCATTGTGTCCCTAATGTTAGTCTTGGTGTGGTCTTAACTGGTCACTCATTCATAGCACACACCATCAAATATAGGATGACCTCCTGTATTTAGGACAGGAACAGAAGATGGTCCAATATCTAGCTAAGGTATTCCATATTAATTTAGTTGCACAGGACTGCTTATTGCTCCATTCTGCCACATTTACCTACATAGGCATCTCTTTAATGTAACGAGAAATCTGTAACCTTCAAGTAGAGCAGGCCACTGTCAATAGGTTTGGCAAATGAGACCCACTGGACTGCATAATTGCTTACCTAAATACGTTATGAAAGCTGAAAGACACAGTAAATACAAATAGACCCCAATCACTGGCCTTCACGTAGTTAATTTTTTACAAGATGTCTAGGTGATTTAAATGCATAACTTGTTTTCAAACGTGAAGATTTACACCTAACAGCATCTCTTAAAGCAAATCTACAGCGCAGGCAGCCACTGCAAAGAAGCAGCGTCTCTTAGGGCAAGTACTTGTGATTTGTGCCTAGAACGTGACCCAGTGGAATAACTCTCCCTGTCTTTAATTGATAGAGGAGCATAGTCCTCATTTTCAATAACTGTATGTATCTGTGCTGAGTTATTTCCTGTCCTTGGTGGCTCTGACTATTAAAGTGTATGCAAATTGGGTTTTCATCAGTGTCTTGTCTATCATGATTAAAGTTGAATGACAGGCTGTCTTTCTGTGGCAATTGTATTTTCTTTTTTTAGGGTCAACATTCCACTTTTTTCTCCCTTTTCATTCAGTACATATTTGCCATACAGAGCATTCACAGTCGTCATACAGAATATGTACCTGTACATAATATCGTAATTCTTCTTTTTTTCCTACTCCCCTCCCTTCCCCTTCCATCTTTCTTTCCTTTCCCATTGGTAGAAAACTTTGTTCTATTTTTTCTTCCATTCTTTGTTTTTTAGATCCATTTTCCTATCCACCTTGAATGTGCCCAATCTCATCTGTACTTTAATTTTAGAGGTGTTTTATGCCTGACATTTTCAGGTTGCTAACAGGAGTAGGATATTCAGCTTGAGAGAAGTGAGGACTTTTTTGGCATTATGTGTGTGAAGAAAAAAGGTCTTTTTAGGCATCATGGTTGTCTTCTAATTACATTAAGCTGTATGTTGGGTTGCATTTTAAAGCTATTTTTATTGTGGTAGCATATCTCTTATAGTTTTGTTGTTGTTTTTGGTGTATTTTAATCATTGCCAGAGATGTATTCTTTGGAATTTAATTGCAGTGCTTGGTCATGCTATTTATCTTCAGAATTACTTTTTAAGTGACCCTTTAAAATTATCATAAAAATATGATTTAGCATCTTAAGCTCCCTCTCCTTCCCAATTTATCCTCACTTTTTGCTCCGTAAACAGGGGCCAATATGAAGCTGACCAAAAAATGTATGGCAGTGGAATGATAAGTTGCACTTTTATTCTAAATAGTCTGTCACTGCATTATTGTACATCTAACCAATAGAAAATATTCATTTGTAATCTTATTAGATGTGAAAGTAAAAGAGAGAAAAATGCTTGTATTATATGGTTGCTACAGAATATCATCATTACAGTCATATTTCTATCTCAACATGTGATAATGCCAGCAGGATAAATGAGAAAAACCCTGAATCTTCACACAAAGGAAATGGATTTTATAATGAATGCAGTCTGAACAGAACTAATCTCTTTCTTGGATCATTACTTCACCTAATCATAAAACCTTTTTTAATTCAAATCCTTGCAGGGTTCTAATTGGTGACCTCTGGAGCCCGATAATTGTTTAAGATAGCTGGTCTTTTGCAGCACACTTAATGATGTTTGCAATTAAAAGTGAGAAAGGTGGCTTAACTCTTAGGTATAAGTAAAAAATAGGGTTTTTTTTTCCATCTTTAGTAGTTATTATCATTTCTTCCTCCCAGTGTTACTGACTTACGTCTTTATTAACTTAATAAAATGCATCATTTCTTCAGTGGATTTATTGAAGTTGCATTTGAGAAACTCATTGGGTTATATTCAGAGCAGTCTTCAGCTGTTTGGAAGGGCCAAGGGATTTGTTTGAGAATAAGTCTTAGCCTTTTTTTTTTTTTTCCTGTCATCTGGGTCCATCTTCCTGTTTGTCCTTTTGGGAGATTTAAATAGCTGCTGAGCCAGTATTTCCAGTCTGTCTCCATATACATTTATCTCAGAATTTTTCTTACTATCAGATAAAAATGGATCAATAGAAAAGAAATGTGCCTGGCCAGTATCCACCGTTAGGACTGGTAAAACTGTAGGTGGACCTGAGCCTGATTATTTGTGGTCCTCACCACTGTGTATAACAGTGTGATGTCAATTAGTTTGCACTGTTGTAAGCTTATCATGTATTTAACTTCCTTTCTTGCTTTTGTTATATTTCTCCATAAACAGTGTGCATTCAGTGACTACAGCTGACTCTCCTTATAGAAGTCCTTATATTATCTGGAGGTGAAGCTTCATTGGTTTGTCCACTTATTGTCTGAAAGGTTTCATTTCCTTTTGAAGGCAGCAGGTTGTGGGGTGGTATTTGGGAGAGAAAGCACAACTTTGAATCAGATAATCCTTTAGGTGTGCCACTTATAAGGTAGAATCAAAGAGAGTTGATCATTTCTGTCCTGAGCAGTTATAAGGAACAAATGTATGTAAAACCTCCAAGATAGTATCTACAATAAAATAATAATAATATTATTTTTAATAATTATTATTATTTTTTGTGGAACCGGGGATTGAACTCAGGCCCTTGCGCTTGCCAGGCAAGCACTTATTCTATTGAGCTATCTCCTCGGTCCTACAATAAAATAATTATTAAACTTGTTAAGTTCCTTCTAATTTTACTTTTGGTTCTCATTGGTTTTAAATTATGACAGACCTTTTCAATTTGTTTATATTAAAATTATTAGGATTTAGTACTAAGATTCATTTGTGTCAGGCAAGCACTTACTCTACTGAGCTTTCTCGCTGGCCCTTATTCATTCATTTCAGTATTAAAAGCCTTTGATTATTCTGCTTATGGGACAAATTATATTTTATCGAGGAGCTGAATTCCTGTATCTTTCCTTTTTGTGTCTCTCTTTTCTGCCATAATATCCCTTGTTTGCTGAACAGCTGTATATAGTTAAGGAGAAGTTCAGATAACAGGACAAAAGTGTGAAAGACAAATGTTGGCAAAGATATGCATGGATGGAAAGCTGTACATGCTCTTGGTAAGAACGCGAGCTAGTGTAGACATTATGGAAAGTTAAGTTAGAAGTCCCTCAGAAAATTAAAAATATGATTACCACATGATGCAGTAATTCCATTTGTTCAGAGGAAGTGAAATCAGCATATCAAACATGGATCTGCTCTCTGCGCTTACTGCAGCATTACTCACATTAGCCAAGACTTGGAAGCACATGGCCAAAGTGGTTGAATGTACAAATAAAATGTGGCCTGCGTTCTTAGTGGAATACTCTTTAAGTTTTTTTGTTTATTTGTTTTGGTTCTGTGTAGGGAAGCAAGACAATGAAAATATTTAGTGGTTAAAATGCAAAGTCCCGGGGCTGGTGAGATGGCTCAGTGGTCTAAAGCACCTACTTAGAACAAGCTTAACAAAGCACAGGGACCGCGGTTCAATCCCCCAGCACCACATGCCAGCCAGCCCCGCCCCCTGGTGGGCTGAGCTGGCCACACACACACACACA